ATCAGTCTCAAAACAAGATCAAAAAGACTTTTTGGCTGGATCTAAGACTTTATAACTTGGCTAGGTGGACATTTTTTGCAGTGTACTGTGAACGTTAAGGTTTTAAAGGCTAAATTTAAACAGAAAACTATCATTCTCTGAATAACTTTAATTCTATACCACAATCAAGTAACTATGTTACCTTCAGTTGTTATAAAATGCTGTATGTATCAAAAATAAACGTGACTTTGCGTCACAGTCCGTCTAAACAAGTCACTCTAACAACCTCCTACCGTTTCTGACTCTCCCACTTCACCCCCTCTTTAAGTTTACTGAAGTGGAGCGTTCAAGAACCCTGAAGGGATCTTGTACCATCTGGGTTCTGATTTAGCCACTTGAGCACACACTGGGTGAAAGGTTCATCAGACGAGTGCCGATAAAGTTTATGCAATCATTATTTAATACGTCAGGATCTGTTGGGACAACATGTCAAAATATTAATATTAACGAGAGTTGGGGTGTGATTATCAACAAATGTTTAAAAAAATGCAGCAGAACAAGTCCTCCTGCAGCTTATTTTGCAGTAAAATGTTTGTCGAATCAAAGATAAAGAGACAGACAGAAATGACGTYATGGAGCTTCGCTGTTTACATTTTCTGCCGTTCTGTTAAAGTTTCCTCTGCGGGAGCTGAAAGAGAGCTGGAAAGACATCACAGAAGATGAGCGGGGAGAAAAAAAAAAGTAAAAACGCAGGAAAAATTGATGAGTCACATTGAAATACTGTCTGATATGAGTTTGTAGGGTTTGTGTGTGTGTCGTGTAGACGGTATCTGGGTGTGTTTGTTGTCATGAGTGACCGCTTGAAAAAAAAAAAAAAAACATCCCGAACTCGATCAAAAAGAACATGTTAGGACTGATCCGGCCATCAAAGTAAAAAAGAAGAAAAAAAAGAAAACGGATGAGGATGACTGCAGCAACAACAACAGCAATAACAACATTAACATCAACAACAACATCAACAACAACAAAATCAAACTGAAAGAGAAAAAACAACAAAAAAACTCTGCTTCAGAGTGTCTCTTCATCTTTGGTATAAAAATGGCCGTCCATGGGCTGCATTTGATCCACAACTATGAAAGACTACAGAAATTGTCAACAATTTCTTCTATTGCTTTTGCACCGATTGGTTTTAACCAGAAGCTCCTACTGAATCTACTGCTTTTTTTTATTTTACTGCCAGATTTTTTTCAGTATTTTTGCATTTTTTACTTTTTTTTATTTCATTTTGTTTTGCAGTGTGACAAGCAAAGCGGGCTAAAAACATCTTAAAGCTCATAAAAAAGGTAAAACGTGGCAGATAAAAAGCACTAATGTCATCGACAGCGACGTTTGCCGTGTAAAACGATGAGAATTTAAAAAAAAAAACTAACGAAAAACAAGAAGAAGTTCAGCATTTTGCGACAGGCTGCATCCGCGGTGCAGCACATCATGTTCGTGTAAAATCTCTTCGATGCTCCGCCCCCCACCCCGCCCCCACTCGTCGTTTCCCCTCCCAAACAAACGTTTTGTTTACTTCTCACACTTAGTTACCTCTGACATAATTATATCAAAGTTTTCTTCTAACGAAGAAAAGAAAAAAAAGCTTTTTCTCTATTAAATCTGTACAGCTTATGTGATAGATTCTCTTTTCCTTTTTTTTTTCTCTCTTTAGAGCAACTTGTTGCGCATCTTGTACCCCTAAAATACAAGACGAGGGTTTTCT